CCCCCCCCCCCCCCCCCTCCTCGAGGCAACTCGTCGCTAACCCGCACTCTCACGCTCGCAGAACACGGCCCGACACGCCATGATGGACTCGCTCCCGTCGTTCGGCTCGCTGCACCCGCCGCAGATCAGCCTCGTCAACCCCTTGCGCGGCGCGACCGGGCCCTCGTGCTTCTCGCCCGACTACGACTCGGACGACGACGCCTCGCCCCCTCCTACGCCTCCCATCTCTGCCCCACCGTCCCGTCGTCCCTCGCTCAACGCGCCCCCGTTCCCGCGTCGCGCGTCCGACCCGTCGTCGTCCAAAGGCGCGAGCTCCGGGTCCAAGTCGTCGTCGAGCGACCCGCTCGAGGCCCTGTACGGCAACGTGATCCAGCTCGGCGGCTTCCGCGGCTCGATCCTGCGCGACGCGCGCACCAACAAGCGCCTGTGGATCCCGCTCAAGGTCGGGTTCGGCATCCGCAAGGTCGACCTCGGGCTCGGCCTCGAGGACGAGGACGAGCAGTCGAGCGAGGAGCGCATCGTGCCCGGCCACATGCTCAGCCAGATCGGCGGCTGGATCGACCTCGGCCGCAAGCTCAAGAACGAGTTCAAGCAGATCTCGGCGACGCAGCACGCCCGGCCTCGAGATCCGCTGCGCCCTCCTTTGCGGTACCACTCGTTTGGGTACGACTGGCGTCGGTCGCTCCAGCTGTCGAGTAAGCTCTTGCTCGAGCTCCTCGTGCGCCTCAAGGAGGAGAGCGCGGCGCGAGGTGAGGGTCCGGACGGACGAGGAGTCGGGGCGACCATCGTCGCGCACTCGGTGCGTCCCTTTCTCTCGTTCCCTCTCTTCCTCGAACAGCCCTCACTCTCGCTCTCTCGAACACAGATGGGCGGCCTCGTCGCGCTGCACGCGCTCGCGTTGGCTCCCGACCCGACCGTCGTGCGCGGCGTCTTGTTCGCCGGGACCCCGTTCCAAGGGTGCATCAACACGCTCGGCGCGTTTAAGCTCGGCGGCGGCGTCGCGTTCAACCAGAAGGTCGGCAACCCGGCCACCGTCTTTTGTGCGTCCTCTTTCTCGAGACCTCGCTCGACGGACCGGGAACTGACTCGGCGGTTCTCTCTCGCGCAGCTTGGCGATCGGGCTTCTACTTCCTCCCGCGACCACTTCCTGACGCCGAGCGGCAGCAGGCCGAGGAGGAGCTGCCGGACCTGCCGCTCCCCGTCGGCGACCCGTCGATCGACTCGTCCGCGTCCGACTCGTCGAGCCACGACCGCGCCCCGCCTTCGTCCACCAGCTCCCCACCTTCGACCGCCCCATCGCCTAGCGGCTCCCCTCCCTCGGGCTCGCCATCGACGCTCGCCCCTCCTCCTCATCAGCCTCCCACCCCTCGCCGCTCGCTGTCGTACCCCAAACCCGCCATCCCGCTCCACCGCCTCCTGTCGGGCTGCTTCGAGACGCCCCGAGGCGAGCCCATCCCCGTCGACTTTTTCGACCCCCAGACCTGGGCGACGTACGCCCTGTCGTCGACGCCCGCCGGAATGGACTTTGCCCGGCCGTACCTGCGCCCGCGGGCGGGCACCACGGCGGCGGCGGCGGCGGCGGCGGGCGCGACTGGCGACGGCGACGACGGCATGCGCGAGCACGGCAGCAACCCGCTGAGCGCGTTCGGCGCGCCGGGCAACCTCGGCGAGCGCTCGTCGGCGTTCCCGGGCGTCGACCTCGCCGCCAACGTCGAGGACGCCGTCGAGCGCGTGACGGAGCAGATGGGCGAGGCGTGGGCGCACGAGCGCGATGCGGATGCCTCGGAGGAGACGTTGCGGCTCAGGAGGCAGACGAGGGAGGTCGACACGGTGCGGCGGTACCTGGAGCGGACGCTTTCCCGGGCTCGAGAGGTGTGTCCTCACTCTCACTCTCTCTCTGCCTTCCTCCTTTGCACAGCCTGACCTTTCTGTCGCTCTGCAGTTCCAGGACGACCTCATCCGCCTGTACGACCCGGCCAAGGCGCACCTGTACCCTCCCCTCGCCGTCCTCACGTCGCACAAGACGCCGACCGTGCGCGGCGTCCTCGTCACCTCGCGCGACCACATCGTGTCCGAGGGCTACGAGCGCCTCCTGTGGGCCGAGGGCGACGGCATCGTCCTGCACCAGTCGGCGATCCGCCTCCCGGGCGACCCCGAGGTCGAGGGCCGTAAGCGCACGGGCCGCCCAGAGGACGACAAGTGGATGGTGCACCTCCAGGGCGTCGTCGAGACGACGCATGGCCATGTCGGGCTCCTCGGCGACGTCGACGGCGTGCGCAAGGGCATGCAGTTGCTGTACGGCTGAGAGCGGGGATGGAGGAGCGAGGGAGGGGGAGGTGGGAGGTGGTTGATCTCGAGGACGGCGGCGGCGGCTCTGCCTCTCTTTCTCTATCTCGCGCGCTCTTGGCACATAGCTAGACACTCTGTTGTAGCAGTCTGATACTCTCGCATGCGCATGCAACCCGCTCGTGCACTGTCCCTCGTCGGCCGGGTCGCCTTTCCTCCTCGCCCGTCTCGCGCTCCGTCGGGCTTCAAGAGCTTCTCTCGGCTCGAGTCGAGTAGTTTGCTTTCCTCTCGACGCAAAGGTAGGACAGCGAGAGAGAGAGGGCAAGAATCAAGACACGGTTGCACTCGCTCGACTAGCTCGACTCCTCGTCCGTCTCGTTGGCCGGCGCCCGCTCGGCCGGCAACTTGGGCATCTTGGTCCTCGGCATTGTTACTGCAACACGGCTCGTCGACCGAGTCAGAACACGGCGTTGAGGAGAGCGAGAGAAAGAGAGAGAGAGAGAGGGTGCGCACCGTGCTGGAACTCGGGCGGGACGGGCGCGCCCCGGCGCATGTAGCCCATCTTGAGGTTGACCGCCTTGTCCTTGAGGGCGACGTTGGTGCGGTGGCGGAACGTCTTGGTGCGCGTGCCCTTGGGCCCATGGAGCTTGATCATGCGCGCCCAGTCGCACCCGACCTCGCGCAGGAGCTTGACGAGCAGGTCCGTCTCGTCCCTCGTCCACGCGACGCGCAGCCCGGGCAGGTTGCGGCCCTGGAAGTAGTTGTTGCCGGCGGCGCCGAGGGGCAGGGGCGGCGACGGCGAGCGGGTGCGCGACGCGTGCTTGTTGTGCGACTTTTTGCGCGCCGGCGGGCTCGACTCGTCGCTGCTGTCGTCGTCCGAGGCGGTATCGACGGCGCGCTTCTTGCCCTTGCCGGACCGAGACGGGACCGGGATGTCGACGCTGTCGTCGCTGCTGCTGCCGCTGTCGTCGCTGCCGCTCGGGCCCTGGTCGTCCGACGAGAGCTGAGTCGGCGGCGGCTTGTAGCCGGATGCGCGAGGCGGCGAGCGACGCTGCGACTTGCTCGAGCGCGACGGCTCGGCGTCGTCGCGAGAGGTGCGTGCCGTGTGCTGCGACGGCGGGTAGGCGGCGAGTCGGGCCTGGAGCGAGGGCCGAGGCAGCGACGAGTCCTCGCGGTCGACGACGGCGCCGTGCGACTTGCCCTTGCCCTTGCCGTCGCGCGAGACAGCCTTGGTGCGCTTGTCGACCGACGAGGCTTGGCGAGCGGAAGGAAAGTCGTCGTCGATGGCGAACCCGGCAGTCGAGCGGTCGTCGCTCGGCGCGCGCCGAAACAGCGGACCCTCGCCCTGAACGGGCAACTCGCCGGCCTCGTCGTCATCGTCGTACCCGCCGCCGAACTCCTGCTCGAGGTACGGCTCCATCTCGACGCCCTGCGCGGCCGCCGCTGCGCGTGACGGCCCGGCGACGGGCGAGAACCGCTCGTCTGGCTCGTCGCCCGACGCGCTCGCCGATCGACGGCGCCGACCTGGGGCGCGCGCCGCCTCAGGTGACGGGGCGTACTGCTGGGCGGCGGACGAGCGCGGCGCCGGGCCAGCGTCCTGCGACTGCGAGTCGTCAAAGTTGATCTTGCGCGCGTCGGGTTGCCGCTCGAGGAACGCCGGCCGAGACCTGCACAAGGAGTCGGGAGGTCAGGAGGGAGACTCGAGGCCGACGAAGGAGGGCGAGGGACGGACAGCTTGGGCGCCGGGTCTCGGACGAGCCGATTGCCCGAGTCGAAGCGGATGTGGCCCGCGGTCGCCTGCTGCGGCCGCGGCTGCTGCTGCTGCGCCGGCTCTGCGCCCATGACGTCGCTCTCGACGTCCTGCTGCATCGACGGAGCGACCGAAGCGCTCTCCTCGGCCAACGCGTCGTCCTCGTCGTCGGGGAGCGACTCGCCGAGCAGGTCGAGCAGGTCGTCGGCGCGGTCCGACTCGGGGCTGCGCGCGAGGAGTACAGTCAGGCTCGGGTGGCTGCAGAGCGTGAGAGAGAGAACACGCACTTGGTGACGGCGAGGCTCTCCTGGACGTGGGTCGTCTCGACGGCGGCGCTCTCGGCTTTGCCGAACGTGCCGAGGGCGAAGAGCGAGTCGGTGCGCATGACGAGGTCGGATCTGTGATAGTGGATGGAGTGTGAGTCTCGGGGCTGTAGTCGAGGAGAGAGGGCAAGAGAGAGAGGGAGATGGTGAACGCACTGCGACAGCGTCTCCTGCACCTTGTCGACCTGCCCGGTACCGTCGACAGCTTGCGGACCCGACGATGAGCCGCCAGACCGGGTCGACGAGCGTGCGCCGGTTGGCGAGGCGCTCGCGACAAGGGCTCGAGCGACCTCGTCGGCGTCGGACGAGGACGACGAGGGGGATGACGAGCGGATCGAGGCGGTGGGCGCGTGACGTCGACCACCTTGATCGGTCGACAAGTCGGTGTCGAGGTCGAGAGAACCGGCCTGTGGACGGTGCGGCGGCAGTGAGCGAAGGACACGCCAAGAAAGGACAGGAGGGCTGGGACGCACCTGGTCCCCATCATCGAGCGACTCGCCGCCCGTGTCGTCGTCCCGCACCTCCGAGCCGTCGTAACGCTCCGCATTGACCGACTCGTCGACTCTGCTGCCCTCCTCGCCCTCGCGCGCCGAATCGTCGTCCTCGTCCTCCTGCTCCTCGACAACCGCTCGACCCTTGCCCTTGTCCTGCGCCCGTGGCGGGCTCGGCACTTCCTCCTCATCCTCGGTCTCGTTCCGCAACGCCCGCTCGACGTCCATGCCCTGCCCGACCGGCGAGCTCGACGGCGAGCTCTCGCCCACCGACAGGCCTGCGCCCGGCCCGACGCCGAGCCCGCTCTGCGTCACGCAGCGCTCGACCCAGTCTCGCGCGTCGCGCGCGAGGTCGTCCCACCTCCACTTGGTGCGGAGCACGACCCAGTCGTTGCCCGTGTGCCAGATCTGGTCGAGCGCCTGCGACTGGAGCACGAGGAAGCGCGCGGTGGCGCCGCGGTCGGTGAGGTGGTACGCGCGCGAGGCCGGGAGGAGCTGGCTGAGGGTTGAAGAGAAGAAGGGCATGCTGTCGAGGGGAGCGCGCGAGAGGGACGACGCGAGGAGGAAGACCTGCGGGCGAGCGAGTAGGTCAGGAGCTGGACCTCGATGAGCGAGACCCTCGAGAGAGAGTGCGTACCTGGCACTTGATGTCGATGATGAGCTTGACGACCTGGTCGTCGACGCGCATGTCCTCGGGCAGGACGTGGCGCAGGAATGCGTCGCCGGCCGTCTTGAGCTTGACGACGGCGGTGCGGTCGGCGACGCCCGACTGGTCCGGGGCTGATGTGAGGATGAGGTTGAGGAACGTCGTCAGGTTCGACAGGCGGATGAGCGTGTTGGTCGGCGACTTGGGGTTGGCGATCTCGTGCGGGACGACGTGCTGGAGGGACGAGGCGTCGAGGAACTCTTGCGGCGACAGGTACGCGGTCTTGAGGGCTGCGGCGGGTCCAAGTCGGATCAGTGACGTCCCCAATGAGACGAGCGAGAGTCGGGCGCACCCTGGAAGGCCTGCACAGCGGTCCTCGCGTCGTCGCCCACGGCCCACTGGCCGTTGTCCTCGCCGCCCTCGTCCCGCCCGACCATGAGCAGCTCCTCGAGCGCCGCGTTGACCGGCCCGCGCACGAGCTCCCGCCGCTCTGCGAGCTTGCGCGCCGCGTCCGAGTCGCCGCCGATGAGGCTCGGCCGCCAGGGTGCGTCGCGCGCGAGGCGCTTCTGGGTGCGGAGGTTGCCCGGCGTGCGGACGAGCTGCGAGGGCGGAGGCGGAGGTGCGCTCGGCCGAGGGGTGGTGGTTGCGCGGGTGCGTGCAGTTGTGGCGGCGGTGGTGGGGAGCGGGGGAGGGCCGGGAAGGCTCAAGGCGGAGGAGGCGGCGGCGACGACGGCGCGCGAGGCACGGGGCGTGCGGGTGTTGCCCGAGGGTGTGGCTACACTGGTGAAGGGCCCTGCTGCGGTAGAACCCGAGGCGGTGCCGGTCGTAGAGGCGGACCCGCGAGTGGTTGTTTGGCGACGGGTGTCGGCCATCTCGACCTGGGGCGGCGCGCGGTAGGGTGCAGGGCGTCGGGTGAGGCTGTGCGAGCTGCTGGACGAGGTCGATGTGCAGGTAGGAGAGTCGAGGTGTGTGAACGAAGGAGGGGTTGGTCGCGTTCGCTGATGAAGACAGGACGCCGCCCTGCTCGCGTCCCACGGCCGCAGGAGGCGTGGGACGCCTCTCAAGGCACCAGGAAGTCATACAGCTAGCTCGCTGAGGCGTTTGGAAGAGCGGCGACCGCAGGCTCTCCTCGTCGCCAGTCGACTCTCGAGCGGAGCGAGGCCAACAGCGCACTCTCGCCTGCAAATGCGCGCTCGAGAACGACCCAAGCTATGTAGACAGAATCTGTGGAACGACTGATAATGACAAGAGGCGAAAGGGGGCACTACACAAGGGAGAGCGACTCGGGAGAGAGAAAGGAAGAAGACTCGGCGGCGAGGGAACTCAGTAAAGATAGACGAAACTCTTGTTCTGCTTGTCGGTCAGGTCCTCGTCCTCCTTGTCGACGGCTGCGGTGCCCTCGGCAGACTCGCCGCTCGACAGAGCGTCGGGCGCAGGGATCTCCTCGATCTCGTCGCGCGCCCGAGCGAGCGTCTCGTCGTACTTGCGCTGCATCGACAGGTCGACCATCTGCGAGAGCGAACATGTCAGTGAAGGAGCGAAGAGATGAAGGGGAAGGAAGAGCGAGGACGGACCTTGGCGGGCATGCCGTGCGCGACACGCTGGCGCTCCTTCTGCTTGTTCTGGAACCACAGGACGACGACGATCGCGCCGATGTTGAGGACCGTCACGCCCGTCAAGATGAGGTTGTTGCGCAGGGCTTGGAGGTACAGCGGAGCGTCGTTGGCCTGCGCGAGAGAGACGCGTCAGTTTGGGAAGGTTGCGCTCGAGTTGAAGACAGAGAGGGCTCACCTTGAACAGGTTGGCTGCCGACGAGAGAAAGGGGTCAGCTCGTCGTCTGGCGAGTGTAGAGGGTGTAGGGAGGAGAGACGCACGAGCGAGGATGTTGCCGCCAGCGGATGCCGCCATGTAGAGCGAGAACAGGCCGGCCTTCTTGGTCTTCCCCGCGACGTTCGCGCCCATCCAGCCGATGAGGAGAGCTGCAGGGATGTAGGCAGAGTTAGCGAGGTACGAGGAAAGGCAAAGAGGAGGGGAAGCTCACGGTTGGCGGCGTAGGAAAAGGCGAGGAGGTAGTATCCGAGGAGGAGCGGACCCAGGTTGTCGCGGGTGCGGGGCAGGGCGTAGAGGAGCGCAAAGCCAATCTGCGTGTGACGAGGACATCGTGTCAGTCGAGTGCGTCGGGGAGAGAAGGCGAGGAGAGAGAGAGAGAGAGAGAGAGAGAGAGAGAGAGAGAGAGAGACGCACGACGACGGGGAGGTAGATCAAGCAGTAGAAGGTGCTCTTGGTGCGGAACCGGTACGCGAGCCACGACGCGAGGAAGATGGTCATGATCTGGACGACGCCGAGAGGGAGGTTGAGCAGGAGCGTCGTGCGCTTGTCGAGGCCGGCGATGCCGTTGAGGAGGATCGGGCCGAACGAGGCGAGCGTGTACGGCGTGAGGTTGGTGAGGAAGGTGAGGCTGGCGAAGAGGTAGGTCTTGGGGTCGAGGACGAGCTCGTAGATCTGGGGCCAGCTGAACTTGGTCGAGTTGCCCGCCGTCTGCGCGCTCGAGAAGTCGATCAGCGTCGTCCTCTCGGTGAGGGCGGCCGCGCACGCGAGAGAGGAAGTCAGAGCGCACCTGGTTGGCCCGCAGGCGCTCGACGGCCTTGAGCCGATCCTCGGCGCTCAGGAAGCTTGCGGACGCCGGGCCGTTATCGAGGTACCGGTAGACGAACGGAGCGGCGAGCACCGTCATGCCGCCGAACGTGAGGAAGGCGAGTTGGTGCGTGTGGAGCTTGGCGTCGACGTGCGAGAGGGCCCAGACGATCGTGGCGCCAGAGATGGTCGCCAACCCATTTCCTGCGTACCAGGTCGCGACTCGCATCGGCTGCTCGACGCGGCGGTACCACGACGTCGTGATGAGCGAAAACGCAGGCAGGCATGAAGCCTCGAACACCCCGAGCAACATTCGGGTCGAAATCAAGGACTGCGGCGCAGGCTCGAGTCAGCAAGGAAAAGAAAAGGAAGGGAGAGCGGACGCACGGCGAAGCTGTTTGAGCCGCCCATGCCCATAAGGCTCGCGCCCCAGAGGCCGACGAGGACCGGCACGAGTGTCTTGAGAGGAACCTTGACGAGGAGGTAGGCGCCGATCGGCTGGAAGCCTGCGAGGTGAGCGAGAGCGGTCAGTCCGGCTCGGCTGCTCAGCTCGAGGGCAAGAGGAGCGTACCGAGCTGGGCATACGCCGAGATTGAAGATAGCGTCGCATACTGGTCGCCGACGAGGTTGGCGTCCGTCTTGAGGCCGACGCTGCAGCCGAAAGTCGGGTCAGGGACCCGCCGCAGCTTGAGAAGGACGAGCGGGACGCACCTGGCCGTGAACCCGATGCAGACCTTGTCGAGCACCTGCAGCCAGTAGACGATGATGAGGAGGACGAGGATGCGCTTGTCGGTCGCGCGCTGCGGGCGAGAGAGACGAGTCAGGTTCGGCCTTCCCAAGTCGAGGACGGCGCTGGCTCGACTCAAGCAGGTCCGAGAGAGACAGGAGGACGTACCCTGATGCGCTTGTCATCCTCTGCGGTGACGACGACAGGAGCGCGCTCGTAGATCTGCGGTGAGGCGAGGAGGAGAGGACGAGGAGGTCCAGGTCAGCGGGTCGATCGCCTCGACGCGCTCCGAGTCTCGCCGCAGACGACGCGCAAAAGTGTGGGACGCACCTCGGTCGACGCCTTCTCGTCGGCGAGGTCGTGCTCCTTGGAGATGGTGGCCATGGTTGAGCTCGAGGACGGGCGAGAGGAAGGGCTCGGGAGAAAGTGGCGAACGCGAGGGCGAGGAGGAAGAAGCGGTGGAGAAGCTGGGGAAGGAGAGAAGGAGAAGCTGGGGACGAAGAGCAAGGCATGGTCCTCCAGCTGAGCGAGGGTGGGGGTGGGCGGGCCGCTCGAGCTGGGGCGGCGCGCGAGAAATCGGCGCGTGGGCGAGCGCGGGTCGTCGAGCGGAGAGGAGCCACTGAGGAGCCGCAAAGCCTGCGGTGCCCCTGCGGAGGCCCACGCGCGCGGGCCAAGGTCGCCTCAGCAGGCAGGTGTCACTCGAGAGAGCGGTCCGCTCGTGCCGCTCGACCTCGACGTTCGGGCGACCTCCCCACCGCGAGCGTCACTCGCTGGCGGCGCTGCAGCCGCCGTCGTGCGCCCACAGGTCATCTGCATCTGCGCCTCGCCGTCGAAGAACCCGAGGCGGTCCGCCCTTCCTCGACTCGCCGCTCCTCCTCCTCGTCTCGCGAGCAGCTGGCCCCACGCGCACCCGCTCGCGCACCACAGGCTCAAGCGAGCGCTCGCTCTGCTGCCATCAAGAGAAAGACCCTGCTGGACCGCTGCAGCGAGGAGCTGGCGAGGAGCTGGCGAGGCGCGGCAGCGACCGGCGAACTTGGCCAAGCGCAAGGAGGGACGAGGGCGACCAGGCCAGGGGTGCAGCTGCTCGTGGTTGCGCCCTGGTTCTCGAGAGGGCAAGCGCCTTGTCGCCCAGCTTTGGGGTGCTGCCCGGTGCAAGCTCGTGCGAGGAAGTCGAGGAGGGAAGGAGATCGACTGAGCCGGCACCTGCGACCGGCGAGCACTTTCCCCGACAAGGAGGTTCGAGCCCAAATGAGCACGCGCCCGCGCGAACCGGCCGGGCGGCCGCGCACCTTCGTAACGTTGTTTTTCGGGGTCGCCAGCTCGTCCTCGTCGCCAACCTCGCTCAGCGCCTCCGTCTCGCTCTCCCTCTCTCGCTCCAGCTCTACACACACGCACACACGCTCGCTCTCGCCGCCATGCTCTTCGTCTCTGTCCTCGTCGCAACCTCGGCCGGTGAGTCCGCTCCCTCCACCTTTCACGCGTCGCGTCTCCCCTCCCCTCCCCCGCGATTGCCTGTGCTGCCGGCCGGCTAGCGAGCGCAGCACCAACGGCGCATGCACTGCACCGCCCACCCTCGGCATAGCGCCGACCGCACCGCACCGCACGAGCGCCGCCGCTGACTCCTCGTCACACAGGCCTCGCCGCCGCGCTGCCCAGCCCGGACGTCTTTGTCGCCCACTCGGTCCGCTCCCTCGCCAAGCGGGCGCCGTCGGCGTCCCAGTCGTCCTACCTGAGCGACATCTTTGGCTCGGTCGCGAGCGGCAGCCCGTGCGAGGCGACTTGCACCACCGGCCTCGACACCCTCACCGTGCGTCCCCCTTCTCGCTCTCCCTCTCGACCGAGCCCAGCTGACCACGACGCACGCACGCAGAACTGCTCCAACATGACCGACCAGGCGTCCATCGCCGCATGCGCGTGCTCGGCCGGCTCGCTCGCCGACCTGCGCTCGTGCGCCTCGTGCGTCTCGACGACGACGAGCTCGCCGACCAACGCCACGTCGGTCGTCGACGCCTACAACTCGTTCGTCGACCTGTGCACCTCGGAGGGCCTCGCGTCCGTCACTGGCACGGTCCAGGTCGGCGCGTCGACCAAGCCACTCGCGTCGTCGTCGGCCACCGGCACCCGCCAGCTCGCCGCCTCGTCGGCCGCCTCGTCCGACGCCCGCTCGACCTACAACCCGTCGGCCGCGCCCGTCACGACGGCGACCGTCCCCGCCCTCGTCGCGAGCGGCTCGATCGCCTCGTCGGCGCGCTCGGTCGCTTCGTCGCAGGCCCAGGTCTCGCAGGCCGCCGCGAGCGGCGGTTCTACTTCGAGCGCCGGTCGTCTTGTCGCGCAGGCCGCGAGCGCGCTCGCCGTCGTCGCCGCCGGTGTCGCGCTCCTCGCCTAATCCTCCCCCTCCATCCGTGTCCCTCCTCTCGGTCTCTTGGTGCGGGTTCAGCGTTTCTCTCGGCGCGGGTGGCTACCTGTCGCACGAGCAGCACGACGACCCAGGTGGTCGCACGTGGCTGCCCATTCTCCTATTCATGTATCCCCTTCCCCTCGTCCTCCTCCCTGTCGCCCTCCCTCTTGTTCGAGTCGCACCGGCGCGTGCCGACTCCCACCACCCCTGTCACTCCCTCCTCTTTTGTCACATACCCCTACCTGCGTCGGATCGAGTCGCTAGACGGGTCGCGTAAGCTCGACGTTCCGCTCTCCTCCTCGTCCGCCTCTCGAAGAGGCTCGCGCCCGGAAAGCTCTATCTCGCTCTCCTTTCTCGCTCTCGGCTCGTCGCTCGGCTGCCTAGTGCTCTTCGACACGCACACTTGCTCTCGGTTCCGAGAGGACTCGGCGCTCGAGACAAACGAGACCTTGCTACCGGCGCACGGACCCGCTACAGCTCCTCCCGGCTCGGCAGCCACACCGCCGCGACCGGCTTCTCGACCTCGCCCAGCACGTTCGCAAGCACCCTCGTCATCGTCCCGTCCGCCTCGCGCTCGTACACGCTCATGCCGCCCTCGTCTCGCCCCATGACGAGCACCCACCTCTCGCGCTCGTCGCCCGCCGGCGGGCCCGCCGCCATCCCGCGCAGGTGCCGCCCGGCGCCATGGACGAACGCACCCTCGCCGAGCTGGGCGGGCGCGTCGGGCGCGACCGAGAACGAGACGACCGTGTCGCCGTCCGGCGCGAGTGACTGGGGCGCATTCCGGTTCGAGATGAGCAGCGTCGAGGGGAAGTTGGGCGGTGCCGAGGGGAGGGGGGAGAGGAGGAGGATGGTGCACGGGATGAGGTCGTACGGGTCGGCGCGGGCGACGTCGCGCAGGTAGGGAGGGAGGACGGGTGCCGAGGAGAGGGTCGAGAGCTCGTCGGTCGACGAGGTCGGCAGCGCGAGGACCGAGACGGTCGCCACGAGCTCGTTGACGAGGTAGAGGTGCTTGCCTGCTCGTCGAGAGAAGTGGGTCAGGACGTCTCTGCGACGAGGAGAGGAAAGTGGCCGTCGGGACGCACCGTCCGCGCTTTTCACGCCATGCCTCGGCCCGTCGTACTGCTCGCGCTCAAACTCCCTCACGACCTCCCACGTGCCCGTCTGCGCCTCGCCGACCCACCGCATTTGCCAGATCTTGTCCGAGCCGAGGTCGGGAACGAGCCAGTCGCCGTCGAGCGGAACGAGGTGGTGTGGGTGAGCCGATTCTTGCCGCGGGTGCGTCACCTCGGTGCGAGGGAAGGCGAAAGAATGGATCTGGTTGGGCGTTGGCTCGGTTTGGGCAAAGAGGCCGTCGTCGAGGAGGGGCGTGTGAACGAGCGAGCCCGAGCGGTACTGTGCGCGAGTGCGAGTTCGTCAGGGAGGGGTGCGCGAGTGACGAGCTGCGACATGAGAGAGTGCAGAGAAGAGAGACGCACATTGACGCTGAGAAGCGCTTTGCCGTCCGGCGTCACCTCCATGTGCGTCGGCCCTCCTCCTCCCGCTCGAGCCTCTCCGAGCACCTCGAACCCCTCGACGGCGTCGAACCGCACGGCGTACAGCACGTCGTCGACCCAGCCGTTGACGTAGCACAGGCCTGGGTGCGTCGGCGACAGCGCAATCCACGAGGGCTGGTCGCGGAGCTGGAGCGAGTGTTTGACGGTGAGCGAGGGCGCCGACGAGTCGAACTCGACGAGGTGGATCTGGTCCGAATGTGTGCCGACGAGGATGTGGTGGACGGGCATGCTGTGCGACGTAATCGGCGGAATGGTGAAGAGAGAGGGAGAGGGAGAGGAAAGCGAGCAAGTCGACCCGCACGAGCGGCGGCCTCGAGCCGCGAGCCGCTCGGCTCTCGACGGTGGGTCACCCGGCGTGCCGACCCAAGTGCCGAGTCCTCTTGAGCGAGAAGTCTCGGGCGCAAGCCGGACCCGGTCGCGATCGAAGGAAGCCGAGAGACACGGCCGCGCGAGTGGAGGAGGAGGAAGTGCAACTTGAGAAGGTCCCGGTGTTCTCTTCCACTCTCTCTCTCTCTCTGACAGGGAAGGCTCGACCAGCCGGATCTGATTGCAAGCGAGAGAGTATCGAAGAGAAGAGAGGAAGGGGTGCAGGGTGGAAGGAGGAGGAAGGAGGAGAGTGTGAGGAGAGATCCGCACGTGGCCGCCGCTCACGTTGTCCTCGCTCGTCTCGCTGTAGCTCGAGGATAGAGGCTCCAATGCAGACTATGGGCGTTCTCCTGCGCGTGGGCCGACTCCAAATCGCGCGGCGAACAGGCCCGAGGAGACGTTGGTGCCGGCGCCGGCGAGGCAGGACATGCAGAGCCCTCGGCCGACAGGGCCGGGAGGCGGGCACGCCGACTGAGGAAGATCTGCGCGATCTTGTCGTTCTCCGCAAGGTTGACGACGAACGACGAGTAGGCGCCCTCGCGCGCCACGACCTGCTTGCGCCCGCGCCCGCAGCCGACGACGATGCCCTCGAGGACGAGGTGGCTGTGGCGCCGGCCCGACTCGTCCTCCATGTCCTCCCACACGATGACAGACCGAGCCGGCTCGTCCTCGCTGAACGGACGCGTGCACGAGATAAGCTGAGGGCGAGGAGGCTCGGCGGGACTCGCTGCAGGGGAAGGCGAGCGAGTGAGCGGCTCGGACGCAGGGACGACGTCTAGACCGAGACGAGGACAGAGCGACGCACCGACACCGTTGGCCTTCTCCTCGAGCACGACTCGGTCCCGGGTGCGCTTGTTGCGCATGGCGTGCGGCTTGCGCACCTTGACGCGCGCCTCCTCGAGCCACAGCTTGACCTCCTCGTCGACGGTGACCGACACGGCGTTGAGGAACTGGGCGCACCACTCGTCGACGGCCGAGGTGGCTCCTTCTCTGACGAGCGCGCCGATGTGCGCCTCGAACATGTCGGCGACGACGTTCTGGTTCTCGTTCAGGGGCCCATCTTGCTCGCCGACCGGGGCGGCGAGCAAGGTGCGGTCGAGGCCATAGGCTAGCGCGAGGTGGCTGAAGGTGCTGTTGGCCGTGAAGCGTGCTCGGAAGATCTGCGAGCACCGGATGAGCGTTAGTTGCGCCACGAGAGAGGAGAGAGGGGGGGGGGGACTCACGGTGAGGCCGTTGGACGAGAGCTGTGGGTAGCGGGCCGAGAGGCACAGGCTGAGAGCGCTGTGCAGGTAGCTGTCGCCGAGCCACTCGAGGGGCCGGTACGAGTTGATCTCGGCGTCGTAGACGCGGTAGGCCGGGTCGGGGCGGTGCAGGTTGAAGAGGTAGTTCTTGGACGTGCGCGCCTGGCGCGAGAGGTCGGCATCTTGGACGGCGGGCAGCGGCGGCAGTCTGGCTGGCTCGAGCTGGACCTCGGGCGGTGCCCAGCTGAGGCGAGCGGGCGAGGCGCGGGCGAAGAGGAGAGGTTGTCGGCGAGATTGTGACGGCTGGCCGCGGCTGCGGCTGGCGAGCGGCGACATGGTTGAGACGGTGCCCGCGGTCGTGTGCTCAGCAGGACGGCGTGCCTTGCACAGAGGACCTGGTAGAGCGAGGAGGAGGAGAAGAATCGTCCGCCTCCGCCCACGTCCGTACGTCGGCGATTGGTCGCGGACCGCGGCTCATCGGCTCGTCGGCTCGTCGCCGTCCGTACGTCTCGGTCGAAAGCCGGACCCGGTCGCGATCGAGGAAAGCCGAGAGACACGGCCGGGCGAGCTGAGGAGGAGGAAGCGCAACTTGAGAAGGTCCCGGTGTCCTCTTCCACTCTCTCTCGAAGCTCGCACGCAAGGCCGAATCGATAAGATTTGACTGCAAGTCCGAGACTACTCGCGAAAGAGACGAGAGGGGATGGCGAAGCGCGAAGGAAGAAGAGAAAGGGGAAGGGAGAGTCGCTCAAAGAGAGTAGTTCTGGAGGGCGAAGCGTCAGGATACGCTCGTGCGAGAACAGCGAGAGGGTGCGCACCTTGACCGAGACGTTGGTGATCGATCCAGCCGAACCGCCCGACGTCTTGAGACCGGCAAAGTCAAAGTCGGAGCACGAGCCTGCGTAGCGAGAGAGTCAGGTTCGCGCTCGAGCACTACGAGCGAGAGAGGAGGGCGCACCCTTGGCGCAGAGGATCTGGAGAGCGGGTGAAGTAGAGTCAGTGCGTGGTCGAACGAGAGCCGAAGGAGAGGAGGGACGCACGTAGACACGCTTGGCGCCCGAAGCGACACTGACCGAGTTCGTCCCCGTAAAGTGGACGCCGCTGATCGGAACGCCGACGGTGGTCTTGCCCGTCGCGCCCTCGTTCGTGTAGTCCTGCGAGAGAGGTGGGAGTGCCTCAGGGGGATGTTCGCGAGACGGTGCCGGCGAGGGAGGGAGGAAAGGGGCGCACCTGCTGGATGATGACGCCTGCCTTCTTGGCGTTCGTGACCTACTCGCGCTCGAGAGTCAGACAAGGTCGACGGAGGCGAAAGGGGGACGAGGGAGGAAGACGCACGACGTTGCCCGTGTAGCGCACGTTCGAGACGCTCGCGCCCGGCTGGTTGTCGTACGTCTTGATCCTCAGGCCGTTGTCGTTGTCGATGACCTTGTTGTTCCTGCAAAGTGGCGTCGAGCTGTCAGTCCCGAGTCATCCTCGAGCGAGAGAGGGGCTCAGGCGAGGGAGGGAGCGGGACGCACTGGATAACTACGTTGCGCACGACTTTGTTCGCCCGAATGCTGCCGATACTGATTCCATGCCCGCCAATGCAGGTCGAGTTCTCGATCGTGATGCCGTCGCCGTCGTTGATGGCGACGCAGTCCTGCGTGCGGGCGACAGGGCATCAGGGCGGCTCTCGCAGCGAGGGACGAGAGGGCTCACGTCCTGGTTGTAGACCGTCGCGTGCGTGATGGTGAGGTCCTTCGCGGAACTCAGGTCGAAGCCGTCAGTATTGTGGCCCTTGGCGGCGCCGGCGCGCACGTCGACGATGATGCTGCACAAGGGGAGGTTCGAGGGTGCGTCAGGACGCCGTCGAGGGTGATGGACGAGGTTGAAACGCCGTCTAGGGTGACAGACGAGGCTGGAAAGCCGCCGAGGGAGGAGGGCAGCGAGAGAGAAGGTCCGAGCGTCGGCGAGGGAGGAGAGAGAGGAGGGAGGAGTGCCGACTCACTTGGACATGACGAGCTTGGCCGGGTTCGAGACCGAGAAACCCTGCACTGGCTGGTTCTGTAGAGAGTAGAGACAAGTCAGGTCGATCCTGTCAAGGGAGAGAAGGGGAAGGGAGGACGCACGAGGAGCGTAAAGTTGTCCATCACGCCGCTCATCTTGACCTTGAAGAACTTGGGCTTGGTCACACCGCCAGAGTTGCTACCGTATCCGTCCCACAGCTTTGCGCCCTGGCCGTCGAGCTTGTGGCCGCCGCCGTTGAACGTCACGTCCTTGCCCTGGATGAGCATGAGCGGGCCCTCCCAGCTCTTCGAGCCGAACGTGATGTCGCCCTCTGCGTACGACAGAAGAGTCAGTGAGTGTCGAGGAGACTCGAGAGAGAGCGACAGAGAGGGGGACGCACGCAGGTTGACGACGGCGCCGTCGGCGAGATCCAACTCAAAGGTCTTGCCAGCGTCGACGGTGAAGCTCTTGATGTTGACCGTCTGGCACTTGACGGCGGCGGCGACGTCCTTGAGCGAGGCGATCGTGCCCGTGCAGCGCTTGCCGAGGCGGTCGACCGGCGCCTTCTCGAGCTCGTGCGAGACGGCCGTCGCGAGGGTGGTCGCGCCGAGTAGGCAGGCGACGAGGGAGAACTTCATCGTCGCGGGTCGGCGGTGATCTGGGTGAAGGTGAAGGATAGGAGAAGTCCTGGCCGGCAGGTCGAGGGGAGCGAGAGGGAGGGGAGAGAGCGGGATGAAGGAAAGGAAGGAGAGAGAGGAGGGGAAGCTGGTCGACCGGGCCGGCTGCAGCAGCTCGAGCGGCGCGAGTCGGGCCTTCGGCCGCTGCAATCATCGCCCGAAGTTAGAGTGCGCGCGCCGCTGCAGCGGCTCTGGCGCGCGGGAGGAGGACGCTGCGGCTCGGAGACGGCGAGAGGCCGTCTCCGCGACGAACCGAGCGGGAGGCCCTCGCTCGCTCGACTCTCGCGCCGCGCGGGTGCTGGACCGCAAAGTGGAGCAAAGGCAGCGAGTCGCACATGCGAGCCATGCAGCGAGCACTGCCAGGGTTGTGCTAGCTCGGAAACTGAGTTCGACGGCCGTCGGACGAGCGAGGTGGTGGGCCGCCGAGGGATGCCGCAGCCGACGGAGCGGAAGCGCAGCTCCGTCGAACTGAAGCCGCAGAGTGCAGAGAGGACCGCAGCACCGGTCCCTGTGGGGCAGCCAACGGGCGAGGTCGTCGAGAAGGAAGGCGAGCGGGGGAGCGCGATGAGGCCGGGGTTGTCCACCCACCAGCTCTCTCGTCGTGCTGGGAAGAGCACCAGCTGCTCCAGAGCGCGCACACAACATGTCTGCCGGCCGTCCACTCCCGACCGCGCTGTTCCCGGACGAGCGCGTCGCCGCCCTCCGCCTCTCGCATCATCACCTCGAACCGCAACCTCCACGCCTCTACCAAGGTGCGCACCCTCTTGCACTCCTTCGATGGAGCTCTACTGACCACTGTGAGCGCGCAGGACATCGCCGCAAGAGCTGGGTCGTCGACGACGCCGACGAGCTGATCGAGTTGAGGGCGCGCGCTCGCACTTTCGACGGTGCGTCCAGGGCAACCGTCGAGACTGTCCTGCCTTGTAGCCTACTGATGAGCGACCCCCTCTGCAGGCGCCTACACTCGCACGGCTCTCGGTGAGCTTCACCCTCCTCCTCGTCCTCGTCCTTCCCCACCACCTCGGACCGGCCTCGCTGACTAGCAATACTCACGCAGGCAACCTCGGTTATGCGCTCGTCGTGCTCAAGATCTTCACCGCCGAGTTTGCGCGCAGTGAGTCCTCGTCCTCCCTCGAAATCGCCCGGCGAGAGCCACTCGTCGCGCGGCACTGACCCTCTCCTCCTCCTTTGGAACCTTCTTCGCGCGCACAGTCGGGCTCATGTACGTCATCTTGGCCATGCTGGTCATGCTCATCGGCCAACTGAGGCGCCGTCGGAGCGACCACGACTTTGCCGGTGCGTCCTCGCCCTCGTCCTTCCTTCGCCTTTCCCGCTCGAGGCCAGTCTCGGTCGTCCTCGGCGAGCGTCAGACTTACCCCTGCTCCCACTGCAACAGACTCGCACCGACCCGCCACCGACCCACAAGCCGCCGCCGCTCGCGCCAACGACCGGCTCTGGGGCCGCGACTTTCGCACGAGCGGCGACGTCGTCGTCCTCCTCGGCCTCGTCTGCGCGGCACTGTACATCGCCATCTTTGTCTCGATCATGCAGCTCGAGGGCTGAAGCTTGACGGCGTGACGGACGTCACCTCCTCGTCGACGAGCGGCAGCCCAGGAGCGTCCGGCGTCGAAGGGCATTTCGTCGCCCGGCTCCGCTCCCGGCCCGTCGTCGGCGTCGAGAAGGAGCCCGTCGCCGGACGGACCTGTTTGAGCCGTCCATCGGTTTGTCGGATTCTCCGGAACGTCCGCACCGCGTCGGCTCGCGGCGCCCGACCGCCTCTCGACCTTCTCGCCCTCGCCCTCTCTCTCTCCGCACGTCCTCGCCGCACCCGCACCTCAAGCCCTTGTGCGTCGTCATCGCGCGAGCTCGCCTGTACACGACCGCCGCCGCCTGCACCTCTCGCTGTCGTCCGCCCTCGCTCCCGTCGAGACCAGCTCGCCGACGACCACTCGGCCCGAGCCAGAACCGGCACGATGACGCCGCAGCACGTCCAGCTTGACTCGTCGCACGACCTTGCGCGAGAAGACGAGGCGCTCCTCGCCGCAGTCGACGTCTCTTCCCTCGACAAGCAGGTGCGCCTCTCTCTCTCTCTCTCCTCTCTCCCGGCTCGTCTCGCACAAAGCGCCAAACTGACATGCCCGACCGTCTGCAGGAAGGCTACGACGTCTCGCTCCTCGCCCTCCAACCTCGCGACGTCCGCCCCTCGCCCTCGTCCTCCCCGCCCGCCGAGCCTCGCGCCTCCTTCCACTCTCACGGCTCGACCTCGCGCCCCGACACCCTGCGCGACCCCTCCCCCGCCTACCCGAGCGCCGCCCCCTCCTCCTCCTTCTCATCGCGCCCCTCGACTCGCGACGACGAGTCCGCCCCGCTCGACCCCTCGTCGACCTCGCGCCCCTCGTCCGACACGACCCGCCGCTTCCACCGCCAGTCGGCCGTCCCGCCACTCAGCGCCCCGAACCCGCGCCGCGCCGCTCAGGCGTACAGCGAGCGTGCGCGCGCCGCAGAGCGGCACCGGCGCGGCGATGGCGATGGCGGTGGGTCGCTCGAGAAGGGCGGGTCGGCCGCGGCTGGTGGTGGTGCGGCGCGAGGACGGCGCGCGTTCAAGCAGCGCAGGGGGCTCGTGCTTGCGCTCGCGCTTGTCGTGCTGCTCGTGTGCGGCGGGATCGGGGCGGGGCTGGGCGTGACCTTCGGCGGGGGCAGGAGTGGAGGAGGTGAGAAGGACGACGGGCTCGCGGTGGCTGCGGCAGCGACGCCGACGGCGGGTGGGTCGAGCAGCAGAGACGTCGGTCTCGAGATGCAGCCGGCGATGGCGCCGACGATGGCGGCGTCGACGAGCTTCGAGGGCCGGATGCGAGAGGCAGTCGGTCGCGGAGAAGTCTGCGCGCAGATCTAGAGGCGGCTGCCGTTCCGACGGGCGCCGCGGCGCCAGGCGCGCCAACGTGGGTGGGCGAGGAGAGCTGGAGCGGGGGGCCCGAGGGCTAGAGCGCGTCGGCGGCAGGAGCGAGCGGACCGGGAGCGAGCGCGTGCGAAGGGCGCGAGCAGGGTGCGGCGGTGGGGCGAGCGGTGCGCAGGTGTGCTACTGCAGGGCGGACGAGCGCGAGCGAGCTGCACGGAGACGGACACTGGCAACGAGGCTCGCCCCTCTCTTTCTCTCGCTCTGCCGGATTCCGAGAGTTGTTCGCGTTGCACGTCCTCGCCGAGTACAGCTGCGGCTCAGTCGATAAAGTACCACGACATGTCGAACTGCGTGCACGATGAGGGCGTCAGGGCGGCCGCTCGACAGAGAGAGAGAGAGACAGAGAGGCAAAGGGAGGAAGAGGTCCGAGAGCGTACGCACCCAGCCCTCGTCCCTCGTGCCGAGCTTGTCGTACGCCCCCTCGCTCAAGTCGACGTACCCCTCCTCGACGCACGACGGGCATTGCTGTCGCAGGTGCGCGCAAGTCGGCGTCAGTCCCTTGCTCCGGCACGAGAGGACGAGGAGGGAAGGGAAGGCAGGCTCACGTCGGCCACCTCGACCTCGACACTCTCGCCGTTGTCGCTCCTCGTGAGCCGGATCTTGCGCCCGCAGTTCTTGCCGTCGGCGTACAGCTTGGTCTGGAGCGCGCAGATCAGGGCGCTCTCGGCGTTAACCTTGCCGCAGTCTGCGCGAGGCGATTCGGGGTCAGGCGGGTGGGCGGGCTCGGCGGCGACACGGATAGAGAGAGGTGAGAGGGAGACGCACTGCCTGCTACACCGCGCTGCTGGTAGAAAGTCGCCTTGCCCGTCCACGTCTCGCTCGACGACGCCGCCGAGTCGGTCCCGCTCGACTTGGCTGCGCTCGAGCCGCTCGTCGACCTCGCCGTCTCGGACGCCTTGGGCTCGCTCGCCTTGGCGTCGGCGCGCATCGTGTTCTCGACGCTGTCGTCCATGTCGGACGCCGGACTTGGCGAGGCTGTCGGTGAGGACGAGGGCTGAACGTTGTCGAGAGACGTGGGCGGACCGAGCGAAGTTGGCGACGCAGCAGCGGCGCTCACGGTCGCAGTCATGGCGGTCGTCGAGGGTGCCGTAGGAGATGGCGTGTCGGTGCGCGACGCGCCAAAGAAGAGCCACCACGCGAGGACGCAGACGCCGAGGAGGCCGACGCCAATCGCTGGGGGCGGCGAGAAGTGAGCGAAGGAGAGCATGCTCGAGAGGAAGGAGGGACGACGGACCGAGGTACAGGACCACTCTCCTCGTCGCTCCTCGTCGTACAGGAAGCGCTCGCCGCGCAGGAGGATCCGCGTCGTACCGCCGGCCCTGCAGGGTCGAGATCAGTTTGAGGACGGCACGAGAAGAGGAAGGGCGGCGCACCTTCTCTAGCGAATGATAATGGACTCGAGCAGCTCGACGTGAACGCGTAGGCGAGGGCGAGGAGCTCGAGGAGGCGTCGTTGTCGTCGTCGTCGTCGCCGGACGAGGAGGACGGCGAGGGCGAAGCAGATCGAGGGCAGGGCAGCTTGTGCCGCAGAGGTCGCGAGGGCGACATGAGCAGTTCAGGGAAGCGTAGCAGCAAGCTTTCGAGGCGAACGGGCTCAGATCTGCCGCCAAGACGGACGACGGAAAGTCCTCGGCCCGAGCAGGCCGAGGAGGATTGAGCGCGCTCGCGCCTGGCGAGAGTGAGTCAGCTGCAGCCTAGATGCGCCGCAGAGGTGCGCACTGCAGGCAGGGCTGTAGCGCGACCGCAGAGCGAGCCCAGACGAGAAGCGGAGTGAGGAGAGCGAGGAGGACGAGGACGGCTCAGAGCTGCGCGGGAGCTGCACAGGCGAGGTGTTACGAGCCTCGACAGCGAGTCTAGCCAGCCTGTGGCTCGCTCCGCTGCTGCGACGTTGCGCCAGACGAGCGAGACGGTACTCTCCTCCTCCTCACTTGGTCACCTCGTCGAGCAATGGCGACCGCTCGCCTGCTGGACGTGCAGACGCCTGTGCCGGGCATCCAGATCGTGTACGACTTCATCAACGCCGCCGAAGAGGCCTACCTCGTCGAGGTGCGTCCTCTCGCTCTCGTCGTTCCTTGCACCGCCTCGCCCCAACTGATGAAGCCGCCTCTCGCCTCGCCCTCCCCTCCTGCGCCCGTGCGCTTCACTCGATCGCAGAAGATAGATGCTGTCGGAGGTGGACCAGCTGCGGCGAGCGCGGCAGAGGGCGAGGACAAGGCGGGACGAGGCGCGGCGGCGGCGGCCAAGAAGCCTTCCGGGTGGAAGGACCTCAACGGCCGCAGGAGCATGTACTGGGGTGCGTCCACCTCTCTCTCGCTCGTACAGCACGGACCGCCGTGCCGACCGTTCCGCCCTGCCGCCCACAGGCGGCACCGTCCTCCCCTCGGGCTCGCTCGTCCCCTCGCTGTTCCCCTCCTTCATGGACAGCGCGTGGCCCAACGTCCTCGACCGCATCGCGCAACTCGGCGTGTACGACGCCTACTCGGGCGGCGAGGGCACGGGCAAGGAGCGCGGGCCGAACCATGTGCGTGTGCCGCTCGAGGGCTCTTTCGGTGACCCCTCACGAGAAAGCAGAACTGACCTCGTTCTGGCATGCCGCGCACAGTGCCTCGTCAACGAGTACCAGCCCGGCGAGGGCATCATGCCGCACACCGACGGCCCGGCGTACCATCCCCTCACCTCGACCGTCTCGCTCGGCTCGCACACCATCCTCTGCCTGCGCTCCCCGCCCTCGCACCTCGCGCCCTCCTCCTCCTCGTCTCCCTCCTCTCCATCCTCCTCAGACGCAGCACCACCCGCCGTCGAGAAAATCGACATCCTCCTCCCGCCGCGCTCGCTCGTCCTCCTCAGCGGCGACCTGTACTCGACCTGGCTGCACGGCATCCAGCCGCTCAAAGGCGACTCGCTCGAGTCGCTGCGAGGGTGCGCAAACTGGGACGGGTGGTGGGAGTGGCAGGGCGAGGCGGCGGCGGCAACGGCGGCGGGAGAGGGAGAGGGAGAGGGAGGAGGCGAGGAGGCGGCAGCGGCCGCAAGGCGCGAGGTCAACAAGGCGAGGGAGCTCGTCGAGGCGGGCAAAGGGTGGGAGCGCGGCAGGAGGGTGAGCCTGACGTGTCGCCGGCCCCGGGGCAAGGTCCGCACGGGCCTGCTCGGCCTGCGGTAACCGTGTGTAGCTCGCGCTTTGGCTGCATCTTCGTCGCCCGGCGCTCGTTGTCGACTCTCATGGACACGCTCGCACGAGAGAGAGAGAGAGAGGCAAAGCGGCAGGGTGTAGTGCAACGACAAAGCTAAAGAAACCGAACGACAAGCAGGCTCAAGCGCGACCCTCTCCTCCCTCCCTCGCTCCGTCGCTCAGACCTCCCTCGCACCCGAGCCCGAACCCGGCGCGACCCTCGCCTGCCCCTCCTGCTCCTGCTCGAGCGCGACCCGCCCCGCCGCCGCCATCCCCGCGAGCGCCGCAGCCTGCACGTCCGGGTCGTCCGGGTGGCGCAGGAGCGCGCTCGACGGGCCCGCGACGGGTGGCGCCATGTCGACGTCGCCGTCGTCGTCGTCGTTGCCGGCGTTGGCGTGCGCGGCGGGGCCGGCGGCGTCGGGCTGCTGCAGGCGCTGCGGGAGGAGGCTGCGCTGGAGGTTGAGGAAGGCCTCGGGCGGGAGGATGCAGCGCGCGAGGTCGTCCTGTGCGTCCGTCAAGGCTCACCAGTCTCAGTATCCCGCTCGAAGAGAGAGAGAGAGAGGGAGGGAAGGACAGGGAGGAGTAGGGACGCACCTCGTCCTCGACCGCGTCGTCGAGGCGCTTCACGTTCGTCTTGGCGCGGTCCTTCTGCTGCACGAGGCGCGACTCCTTCTCGGCGTCGACGTGCGAGTCCTTGAGGAAGAGCGACGTGCCCTGGCGCTGCCAGGCGACGAGGCGCGTCAGGAACCGGCTCGGACAAGGAGGAGGAGGGAGGAAGAGGGACGCACGGCACGCAGGTCGGCGACGCGGCGGTCGACCGTGTCCGAGACGGCGAACTGGTAGACGACGCTGCGAGGAGACGCCGAGTCAGTCTCGAGGGCTCAAAAGGAGAGGCAGAGAGGAAGAGAGAGGGGCGTACGTCTGCTTGGTCTGGGTGATGCGGTGCACGCGCGCGACGGCCTGCAGCTCGAGGTGCGACGCGAGGAGCGGCTCGACGAGGAAGACCTGTTGCGCATGATCGAGGCAGTGAGCGGGCGACGCTCAAGGCGGGCAGAGGCTGAGAGAGAGAGAGAGAGGACGCACGTAGCGAGCGATCGTGAGGTTGAGCCCGGCCGACTGCGACCGCGTGTGCTGTGAGGGCTCGAGCGTCGTCAGGGACGTGTCCGACGCACACACGAGAGAGAGAGAGAGAGAGGGAGAGAGGGACGCACGAGGAAGAAAGTTGAAATGCTCGCGTCCTCCTGGAAGAGCTTGGCGACGCCCTCCTTCTTGCCCTTGCCGTTGGCGCCCTCGAGGCGGACGAACTTGAGGCCGTTGCGCGTAAACGACTCCATGAGGAGGTCGAGGGCGTCGATCCAGGCCGAGAAAATCACGACTTTCGCCTCGGGCTCGACTCTGACAAAGAGGGTGTGAGCGGCGCGTTCAAGGCCGAGGCGCGCACGAAAGAGAGAGAGAGGACGAGCGAGACGCACCGACGCAGGTGCTTGACCGTCTTGGTGATAAAGTCCGCCTTGCTGCTGAGCGGCGCCGCCGTCTGAATCTCGGCGATTGAATCTATCGCCTCGTCGGCGAGCTCAGAGAGCGCAGGCGCCGCCGCCTCGATCGCGACGTCGTGCGAGACGCCGTGCGAGTCGATGTAGCGCTCGGGCTTGTCGCCGGCGGTGCTGGCCTGGACGGGGTCGGGCTGCGCCTGCGCCGGGGCCGTCTTGCCGAACTGCGAGCGACGACGACGAGGGTGAGCTTCGACCGTCCAGGACCCGCAAAAAGGGGAACGAGAGGACGCACGATGACGGTCGAGTAGCTCCCAGGCGTGAGCTCCTGCTTGCACAGCGCGCAGCTGCGCTTGATCGAGGTCCAGGCCTTGAAGCACTGCGAGGGGAACGTGCACGCCGACCAGTCAGTGGCTCGCTCTGACGGTCCCGGACGAGAGAGGGAACAGCGGGCGCACCTTCTGGCACGTGATATGGCCGCACGCCGTGAGCACGCCGCGAGTCCAGTTGTCGGCGCAGATCGGGCAACTTCTCTCCTCGTCCTCCTGCTGGTTGTCGGGCGAGTTGAGGTTCTCGAGGTACCGACGGCGCGACTGCTTCGACTCGATGTCGACCTTGTGCTCGTCTGCATGTCGTCGGGGCGAGCGCGAGTCAGTGGCGAGGGAGGGAAGGAGGGAGGGACGAAGGAGGGGACGCACGCTCTTCCTGCCTCAGCAGCTCGGTTTCGACGAGCAGGCCGCGCCACGACCGGTGTGAAAAGTCTGGGTCTGCGACGTCGTCCGAGAGCTTCTGCAGGTTGGCGAAGTAGACGATGCGCGCGTTGAAGGCGTCGACGAGGTCTGCGAGCTCGGCGCGTAGGCGGTCGGCGACCTTCTCGAGCTTGGCGAGCTGCGAGGCACGAGGCAAGGTGGTCAGGGCCACGAGGAGAACGGTAGAGAGGACGAAGAGAGACGGCGGGACGCACGTTCTGCGTGAGCCGGTTGCGCTCGCGGTCGAGGATGGCGATCTCGTTCTGCGACGTCGAGCGCTCGGCCGCCTCGCGCAGCTGCTTGATGAGCGAGCGCAGCGGGACGACCTCGGCGAACTCGTTGCCGTCGCCCTTGGCCTCGAGGCGCTCGACGTGGAGCTCGTAGCGGAGGACGTCGGCCGGCGAGTGGCCCGACTCGAGCGAGGGCGCGACAAAGTCCTTGTACGAGTTGTGCTTCTTATTGGCCGTGCGCTTGGCCTGGACGCGAGTCTGTGAGAGGATGGAGGAGTGAGGAGTGAGTCCACGTGCGCCGTCGAGCGAAGGAGAGTGTGAAGGAGAGCGAGGGCGCACCTTCTTGCCCGGCGCCTTCTTGCGCTTCTTGGTCGCCGGCTTGGCCCTGCGCTTGCCCTTCTTGTCGCCCGCGTCGTACTCGCCGTCGCTCTCCTCGGCCTCCTCGTCCTCGCCCTCGCCCTCGCCGTCCGAGTCGTCCGAGTCCTGCGCCGCCGCCTTGCGCTTCGAGCCGCGGGCCCACCTGCTCGTCGGCCCGCCGATCGCGCCCATGACGCCCGCCATCGCCTCGCCGACGTCGTCGGGCAGGTCGTCGTCCTCGATGCCGCGAGCGGGCGGCGATCCCGCCTCGGGGAGGACCTCCTGGTTGTAGAGGAGGCGCTCGGCGATGGCCTTGTAGTCGTCGGCGGCGGCCGAGCGGACGCCCGACACGCCGTACGACCACTCGCCGACGAGGACCGTGTACGCCTCGAGCGTGACGTCGAGCTTCTCCTGGAGCGCCGCACGGTCCTCGTACTCCTCGCCCGTCGCGTCGTCGCCTGCGAGAGTGCGTGGGAGGTCAGTGCACGGCCGAGACGAGGAAGAACACGAACGCGAGGGGAAAGAGGGTGCTCACCGGCGATAGAGACGCGCGTGAACATCATCTGGACGACGAGCGACCGGTACTGGTCGATGAGCTCGGCGTAGCCGTTCAAGATGTCGCTCGTCGTCGCCGCGTCCTCGTACGTCTGGATCGCGCGCAGGCCGTGGCCCTCCTTGTTGAAGCCGATCTCCATGTCGAGGACGTCGAGCTCGCCGTTGAGGTCGTCGCGCGCGTCGAGCTGCTGCTTCAGGAGCGCCTGCGAGCGGTCGACGGCCGACTCGTACGGCTGGAGGAGCGTCTGACGCAGCGACTCGGCCTCGGCGTAGAAGCGCGCCTCGTCGTCGGCGCGCTTGAGGCTGAACGACGCGTTGCCCGAGATGAAGAGGGCGAGGTGCTTGACGAACAGGAGGTCGCGCAGGCGGTTGCGCAGGGCGCCGATGCGGCTCGACAGGGTGCGCTCCTTGTCGTTGAGGACCTCGTCCTTGCTCGCGCCCTCGGTGCTGCGGAACCCGAGCTCGAGCGCGCCGGCGAGACCCTCGGCGGCCGGGCTGTCCGACGATGCGCGACTGTGTGACCGACGGCGGCAACGGGCAGCGAGTCAGTGTCGGCGACAAGAGAGAGAGGGGGGGCCGAGAGAGAGGAAAGAGGGAGGAGAGAGAGAGGAAAGGGAGAGGAAGGAGAGGGAGAGGCAGGGACGCACACGTCGTCCTTCTTGCGCTCCTTCCACACCCGGTGCACCTCGTCCGACACCTCGTCAATGACCGGGTCGAGCTCCTTGATGGCGCTCCCAAACAGCTCGAGCGCCGTCTCGAACCGGCCCTCGACGTCGTCGTCCCAGCACAGGTACTGGGCGCGCCGCACCCGCGCGAGGAGCATGGCGCGCTGCGCGCCCTGAATGTCGCCGACGGCCTTGTCGAGCATGACGGCGTGCACCTCGGCGACCGTGCGCACGACGCGGCCGAGCGAGAGCTTGCCGCGGTTGTAGGCGCCCACCTGCGGGTGCATCGCGAGCTGTCGCAGGACCTCGAGCGCACGGATCATCTCGGGGCGGTCGAGCGTCCACACGGCGTCGGCGCCGACTGCGGCGTGCCGTCGATGGCGAGGCCGAGCGTGCCGAGGGCGTCGGCGTAGCGCTGGTCGTAGTAGAAGCGCTCGACGGCCGTAAGGTCGACCGGGACGATGTAGCGCGCCTGCGGCGGGAGGAACAGCTCGTGCTGGACCTGCGCCTTGAGCGTGCGCTCGCCGATCTCGTTCCACACTGCGCGCGAGGGGAAGAGGCTCAGTACTCAGACCGAGGGCCAAATGAGAGGTCGAGAGAGAGAGGGAGAGAGGGAGAGAGAGGTGGACGCACAGCGCTTGAAGCTCGGCGTCTCCTCGAGGAGGCGCTGCAGGCTGGCCCGGCCCGACGCGACGGGCTCGACGCGGAGGAACGTCAACAGCGGGCGCATGTCGGCAATCTTGTCGCGCAGGGGCGTGCTCGTGACGGCCCAGCTGAACCGCCGCGAGATGAGGCTCGCCGTCTCGCTCGTCGGCCCGACCGCGTCGCCGACCCTGTGCGCACGCAAACTCGGTGTCAGTTGGACGCCCCTCGTGCAGGGGGGGAGAGAGAGGGAGAGAGAGAGAGAAGAGGACGCACATCTGGGCCTCGTCCATGACGACGCGCAAAAAGTCGAGCTCGACGAGGAGGCTGCGGCGGTAGCGGATCTCGCGCTTGTTGCGCAGGCCACGCTGGGCCGGCTTGCGGGCAAAGACGACCTCCTTGCGGAGGACGTCGAACGTGGTGAGGACGACGTCGAACCGCTTGGCGACGTGGGCGGCCGACTGGCCGTCCTTGAGCGCCTTGACGCCCTCGTACCGAAGGACGCGCAGGGCGGGCGCGAGGCGCGCGATCTCGGCCTGCCACTGGCCGACGATGGCCGTCGGCGCGATGATGAGCGTCAGGCCCGACGGCTGGACGTCGCTGTCGGTGACCGGGTTGAAGTAGGGCGCGAGCTTGCGACGGTTCTTGTCGGTGTCTGCGTGGGTCCGGGTACCGCCGTCAGGGTCGCTGCGTCACCGTGTCGAGGACGCAAAGAGAGGGAGAGAGAGAGAGATGGACGCACGGACGAGCACGAGGCTGAGCACCTCGACCGTCTTGCCGAGCCCGACCTCCTCGGCCAACAGGCCGTGCCCCTCCTGCCCGCCGACGGCTCTCGCGCTCGACTGCGTCCCCTCGCCGCCCGCGCCCGTCTCGCCCTCGCCGTCGCCGTCGCCCTCCTTCTTGACCGGCGTCGCCGCCCCGCTCGCGCCCGCGAGGGCCTCGAGCGGGTCGCGCTCGCTCAGGGCGAGGCTCGTGCGGTTGAGCCACAGCTCGAGCGGCGCGGGCGCGTCGCGCTCGTCCTCGCCGTCGCGCTCGTCGTCGTCGTCGCCGTCGTCCTGGGCAGGGCGGCGAGGAGCGAGGAACGCGAGCGAGACGCGCTCCCAGAGCGGGCCGCGCCGGAGCGCCGCGAGCTCGTCGGGCTCGAGGTCGGCGAGGACGGGCGGCGCGCGCTCGTCCGCCTCCTCCTCGTCGTCGTGGTCCTGGTCGTCGGGCGAAGAGCGCCCGGCTGCGCTGCCGTCGAGCCTCGGCTGCTCCTCCTCCCCCTCGCGACCGCCGAGCAGCCCCATGCGCGCGTCGTCCCCTCCCTCGTCCCTCTCGCCCTCGCCCTCTCCCTCTCCCTCTCCCTCGCCCGCTCCCGCGTCCCTCGCACGCGGCACGACGCGGCGCCCCTCGCGCCGGAGCATCCACCGCACCGAGCGCGCCTGGAACGGCAGGAGCGGGACCGTGAGCCCGGGCGGGTACAGCTGCTCGTCCTCGGGCCCGGCGTCGGGCTCGCGGGCACGGCCGTCGTCGTCGTCGCCGCCGTCGGGGAGCGCCCGGCCTTTGCCCTTGGCGGCGCGGCGCAGCTGCGCGTCACGGTCCGCCGCCGTTGCCGCCATCGCCGCCGCGCCGACGGGCACGCCGCGCACGGTCCTCGGTGCGCGCTCGAGGCACGCGTAAAAGTAGTCGGTGCCGGCCTCGCGCGGCACGTCGGCGTCGGCGTCGCGACAGCCGGGCGCCGTGTCGGGCAGGACAAAGTCGAGGAGGATGCGGCGCGGGCGCGAGTAGGGCTTGGGGAGGAACACGGCCGGGTCGAGCTGCGCCTCGAGGTGGAGGTGGAGCGTGACGCGGTTGCCCGGCGCGACGAGCTCGATGGCGAGGTGGGCCGAGACGCGGACGCCCTCGGTGTGGGCGCCGAGCGCTGCGTACTGGGCGAGCGCGTCGACGAGGCCGCCGGCGCCGGTCGGGACGACGGGTTGCGCCGGGGGCTGCACGGCGCGTTTGGCCGCCGCGCGGCTCTTGAACGGCTTGCCGCTCTTTGTGAGCGGCGGCGGCGAGACCCAGGTCGTGAACGAGGGCGCGGCGAACGAGGCCGGGTCGAGCGGGTCGAGCTCGACGAGCGGGGCGTGCGTCGTCGCGTGGCGGAGGTACAGGCGGTGAGGGGCCTTGTTCGAGTCGCGCAGGGTTGCGAGCGAGACGCGCGCGAGCGGCCGAGGGTGCTGAGGGACGGTGGTCGGGGACGACGAGAGGGCGGCGGCGAGGGCGGGCTCGGCATTCGGGGGCGAGAAGGCGAGGTCAAGGTCGAGGATCGGGAGGAAGGTCGAGGCAGGCTCGGCGGCGTCGTCCGACTCGAGCTCGTCGACGTCGGCGTCGACTTTGGCGCCGGGCGAACGAGGTGCACCGCCACGGGCCCCACTCTGTGCCGAGCTCTCGATGAGCGCGACGAGGGCGTCCTGGAAGATGTACTGCGAGTGTAGACAGTGTCAGTAGTAGGTCGGCCGCGGGACTCGAGAGCCGAGGGCGCGCAACAGGCGCGACGACGACCGAGAGAGAGACGGAGGAGGAGGAGGAGGAGGACAAGGCCCGACGCACGACGACCTCGTTGTTGACGCCCTGCACGCCCTGGAGCCTGACGGTGCTCTTGCGCTGCACGTGCTCGCCCTCGTCGGCGTCCGAGTCGTCGCGGTCGAGTCGAGCTGACGCGGCGGCGGCGGCGGACGAGGTGGACGCGGCGGGAGCGCGCCCGCGGGCGGCGGGCATGGCAGAGGAGCGCTGCGGGTTGTGCAGGGTCGACAACACGCTGCTAGAGTGGTCTGGCGAGCGACAAGGGGTGGAGAGAGGAGCGAGAGATGATGAGGTCGATGAACAACTCGGCAGACGTCGCTCTCGCCTTGTTGGTGCAGCGAGTCTTGGGAACCTACTTTCGGAGCTGTAACAAGGCCTCTGCAAGTCCCAGCCGCGAACCTCGAGTGAGCGTGTCGACTGCCGCGGACTCCGTCTCATGCTCTCTCTCTCCCGGTTCTCTCGCTCCTCACACTCAGCTCAGCAGCGCCCGCCATGCCCGACCAGTCCCGACCACCGCTCCCACCAGCACCCTTCCCGATCCTCACCTCGGTCCAAGCCCTGCGCGACTGGCGCACCGCCCGCTTCGCCGACAACGAGTCGGTCGGGTTCGTGCCCACCATGGGCGCCCTCCACCAGGGGCACCTCAGCCTCGGTCCGTACACTGCTCTCTTGCGATTCGACGGGCCTTTCTACGGCGCGCGCGGGACGGGCGGGTCGAGTGCGAGGGAAGTCGTGGGCTTGCTCGGCGGGGCGGCCGGGACGGCTGCAGGGCGACGAGGTGCCAACGAGGGACGCCCGCGAGGTGACGTGCGGTGCCTTTCGAGCCACTGCGCTGCGCCGCACGAGCGTGCCCGCGTGCAGCTCCCCTCCACGACCGCACCCCTCCTCGCACGAGCACGCTCAACTGACTTCCTCCCCCTCTCGCCCGCCCCGCCCAACAGTCAAGGCCTCTCTCGCCGCCAACACCCACACGATCGTCTCGATCTTTGTCAACCCGGCCCAGTTTTCGCCGACCGAGGACCTGTCGACGTACCCTCGCACGCTCGAGTCGGACCTGGCCGCCCTGTCGCTCCTCGACGTCTCGGCCCTGTTCCTCCCGCCGGTCGACGCCCTGTACCCGAGCGGGATCACGACCGACGTGACCAAGCAGGTCGGCGCGTTCGTCGAGGTCAAGGGGCTCGATGCCGTCATGGAGGGCAAGAGCCGACCTGGGTTCTTCAGGGGCGTCGCGACCGTCGTCCTCAAGCTGTTCAATCTCGTCCAGGTGCGCATCTCTCTCTCTCTCTCTCCCTCTCTCGATCCTCTCTGACACGCACGCCGCACGTCACAGCCCACGCGCGCCTACTTTGGCCAAAAAGACATCCAGCAAGCGCTCCTCCTGCGGCGCATGCTCGTCGACCTGCACGTCCCCTCTCCCCTCGCGCACAACCTCGTCATCCTCCCGACCTTCCGCTCCCGCACCAGCACCAGCGACGGGGCCGGGCCTGGGCTCGCGCTGAGCAGCCGCAACGCGTACCTGAGCGCGCGCGAGCGGCCGTACGCGACCGTGCTCGTCGACGCGCTGCGGGCGGGTGAGCGCGTGTGGGAGCGCCAGAGGGGCGAGGGCGAGGGGGTTGTGTGCGTCGAGGACGTGCTCGGTGCTGCGAGGGCCCACGTCGAGGGCGTCGTCGCTCGCATCGCTGCGTTGTCGTCCTCCCCCTCCTCCTCGTCGTCGCCCAACGGCGACTCGCCGCCCGAGCCTGAGCGCGACCAAGTGCCCCACCTCTCGCCGCTGTACTTTGCCCTCAACGACCCTCTCTCGCTCTCGGACCTCTCGGGCCACCTCGCTCGCGGCAGCGGTGGCGCCGTCTTGAGCGGCGCCGTCATGCTCGGCAAGACGCGCTTGATCGACAACTTGGTGTTCGAGTTTGAGCTCAACCCGGAGGAGCCGAAGCCGCGAGGGGGCGCGGGAGCGGGCGAGGGCGAGGAGCGGGTTGCCAAGTAGAGGGAGGGGTGGCAATGGAGCGCGTGAGGCTACGACACAGGGCAAAGGGTGTGCGCCTCCTCCTCGAGAGATGGGAGCGAGAGCGAGAGCGGGCATGCGCCGGTCGGGTGGTCGGTCGCTCGAGGGGCAGAGGGCCTCGCGGGCCGTGCTGGACAGGAGGGTGGGGGCTCGAGAGGAGGCGAGAGAGGTCGGGTGGGGCCTGCGCGCGCGCGCGGGGGAGAGGTCAACGCGGGCGTCGAGAGGACGTCGCTCGCTCGAGAGAGAGAGACGCACCCCGTCGCCGCGTCCGCCGCCGCTCGACCCGCTCCTCACCCAACCTGCGTCTCCTTTCCCTCTCGCGCTCCCCGCCCGCTCCCGCTCCCGCTCCTCGCCGCCGCCTCCCTCGCCGCGCCGAGCCACGCGGCGTACCCAGCCTTGCCCCTGCCTGCCGCGCCGCCGAGGCGCGCGAGGTCGGGCGCGTCGCGCAGGATCGAGAGGCGGAACGAGGGGTGCGGCGAGAGGGCGAGCGCGGTGAGGAGGTCGTGGGTTGTGCTGGAGGGGGGAGGTCGGGTCTGGTTCAGTTGCGGGCCCTCGAGTCGAGAGAGTGGAAGAGGACGCTGAGGAGGAGGGAGCGCACCCAGCAGGGAAGCGGATGACGACCTCGCGGTCCTCGGCGGGGCGGCCGTGCGCTTGCTCGACGAGGACGACGTCGAGCTGGACGAGGGCGACAGGCCCGCCCATGGTGCCGAACCAGGCCGAGGTGACGCTGTCGAGGAGCTGGACGAGGGTCGGGACGTCGACTGGGGGGGACGAGGGTTCGAGGGGCGAGAGGACGAGGCGGGCGTAGTGGTAGCGGGCGTGCGAGTAGGGTGGGGCGTGCGCAATGGCCATTGAGCGCGGTGCTGTCAGGTGAGGGTCGAGGGAAAGGACGACGAGGAGGAGCTGATGAAGATGAGGCCGTTTCTTCCTCGTCTCTCGCGCTCTACTCCTCCTAGAGACCTGCTGCGACTGCCGATCTGCTCTATTACGTCCCAAGCACACGCCCAGCAAGCATACACCAGCCGCGTGCGGTTCCCACTCGCCTCACCTCCCCGACTCGGAGCGACATGGCCGTGGAGCCCTCTTGGCCCGCCGAGCTCGAGTCGGTCCTCGAGCATCTCTCGCAACCCGATCCTAGTGCGTCCCTCCTCCCTTCTCCCCCGCACAGCGCTCACCTGACCTGCCCTCGCAGCCCTCGCACCTCGCGGCTCCCCGACCCTCGCCCTCCTCTCCCGCCTGCACGCCCTCCTGCGCACGCCCACGCCCCGCGCCCTCGCCCACGCGACCCACCTCGCGTCGCACCTCGTCCGCCTCGCCGACGACCTCCTCAACTCGGTCCCGTACAAGGACGTCCCGCTCGCGACCCGCCGCCTGTACACCGACGCCGCCCTCCTCGGCGCCCTCGCGCGCCTCGCGCCCACCGCGACCGCGACCGCGACCGCAGCCGAGCGCGCCGCACAGCTCCACCAAGCCGTGCGCGACTGCGACCTCGCGATCGTGATCGCCGGCGCGCCCGGCGAACACCGCGAGGACCTCGCGCTCGACCTCGTGCGCGTCGCGCAGGCTCGTCTCGGGGCGCTCGGTGGCGAGCCCGACGACGACGGTGTGCGTCCCGCCAAGCGCGCGAGGGTCACGCCGACGAGGCGACGGCGCCCGAGAGCAGCGGCGCCATTCCTCGACCGGCCGTTCCCAACGCTGCCCTCGCTCCCCTCGTTCCTCCCCTCGCCCTCTCCCTCCCCCTTGTCGCCCTCCACGCCCGCTCGCCACCAGCCTTTCCTCGTGCGCGCCGCCCTCGCCGACTCGGACGCCGTCGCGCGCTGGCGCTCGCTCGCCTACCTGCGCGCCGTGGCGGGCCCGGCGCGCGTCGTGCCCGTCGAGGTCGGCGGCGACTATGCCGCCGAGGGGTGGAGCCAGCGGTTGATGGACTTTGGGGCGTTTGTCGACGCGCTGGAACGGGCCGAGGAGGAGGATGAGGAGGAGGAGGGGGAGGGAGAGGGGCGCGAGGGAAAGGAGGAGGACGAGGAGGAGGAGCAGCGCGAGCGCCCCGAGACGCTCTACCTCGCGCAGCACGCCCTCTTCCGCCAGTTTCCGACCCTGCGCCGGGACCTCCCGCTGCCGGACCTCGTCTACTCGCCGCCAGACCGCGACAACGGCGGTGGCAACGACGGCGCCGAGTACGTCCCACCGCAGAGCGACGACGGCGTCGTACTCAATGCGTGGCTCGGGCCGCGAGGGACGACGAGCAGGGCGCACACGGACCCGTACTGGAACTGCTACGGTGCGTCTCGCGGTTCCCCTTTCACCTCGGGCTCTCGTCCCTCGTCGAGCCGAGCCGAGCGGACATGAGGACGGCGCACTGACTCGTCGGGACACGGCCCCTCGCTCGCATGTGCGCAGTCCAGGTCGTCGGCAGCAAGTGGGTCTGGGTCGCGCCGCCCGAGTGCGCGCCGCACATGGCCGCGTTTGGCGGCGGCTCGACGGGCGCCGGCGGCGGCGAGGGCGAGCAGGCCGCGCAGAGCTACATGACCAACACGTCGACGCTCGATGTGTCGGTTCCGCCACCGCCACCGGGCCGAGCGCCCTCGCCGAGCCCGCCACCACCGCCACCCTCAACCTCGACCTCGACCTCGACCTCGTGCGCCGCACGGCCCGCCGAGCTGCTCGACGAGCCCGCGCCTCGCGCCGCCTATCCGCCCGCGTTCCTCGCCGAGGTGCGCCCACGCGCGTTCCAGGCCGTGCTCGAGCCGGGCGACGTGCTCGTGCTCCCTCCTGGGTGCGTCCCTCTCTCACTCTCTCTCTTTCCACCGGCGACGAAGACACTGACTCGTTGCGACGACTCGGGCGAGGACCCAGGTGGTGGCACAGCCTAGTGTCGCTCGAGACGAGCTTCAGCGTGTCGATGTGGTTCTAGAGGGCGGCGCGGTCAGAGCGGACGGCGGTGCAACGTGCTGCAACTTTGGCTCTCGCTCGTTTGCCGGCGCGTCTCGGGCGACTTGCTCTGTGAGGCGCAAGAGAGTGCAGAGCGGCTACGAGCGGCGAGAAAGACGGTGGCGGGCGGGTTGACATTGTTCTCGTTGTCGCTAGGCTGCTCGCGACGAGGAGAGCCGGACTCGCTCGCTCGCTCTCTCACCCCTCTCCACCCTCGCGTTCCACGAATCAGAGCTGACACTAACAGCACACCTCGGTCGCGTCTTCTACGCCTTGACCCATGGTGGCGCACATCGAGGTCGACGTTGCCGC